TAATAATTCCTAGCATTCTATTTGCCTTTTTGACCGCCGCTGCACACTGTGTGGAAGTTTTCAGAGAACTGTCCACGATAACTCCAAGATCTCTTTCCTGATTTGTCGTAGCCAAATTAGGCCCCGCATACTGTACGTATAGTTGGGGTTATTTTTTCCCAATGTGCATTACTTTACACTTATCCACATTAAATTTCATTTGCTATTTTGTTGCCCAATCACTCAGTTTGGTGAGATCTTCTTGGAGTCCCTCACAGTCTGCTTCTGTCTTGACTATCCTAAACAGTTTGGTATCATCTGCAAACTTTACTACCTCACTGCTTACCCCTTTCTCCAGATCATTTATGAATAAGTTGAAAAGGATTGGTCCCAGGATTGACCCTTAGGGTACACCACTAGTTACCCCTCTCCAATCTGAAAATTTACCATTTATTCCTACCCTTTGTTTCCTGTCTTTTAACCAGTTCTCAATCCAAGAAAGGACCTTCCCTCTTATCCCATGGCCATGTAATTTACACAAGAGCCTTTGGTGAGGGACCTTGTCAAAGGCTTTCTGAAAATCCAAGTATACTATATCTACTGGATCCCCTTTATCCACATGTTTGTTAACCCCTTCAAAGAACTCTAATAGATTAGTAAGACAGGATTTCCCTTTACAGAAACCATGTTGACTTTTGTCCAACAAATTATGTTCTTCTACATGCTTCACAATTTTATTCTTTACTATTGTTTCAACTAATTTGCCCGGTACTGAAGTTAGACTTACCGGTCTGTAATTGCCAGGATCGCCTCTAGAGCCCTTTTTAAATATTGGTGTCACGTTGGCTACCTTCCAGTCATTAGGTACGGAAGCCGATTTAAAGGATAGGTTACAAACCACAGATAATAGCTCAGCAATTTCCCATTTGAGTTCTTTTAGAACCCTTGGATGAATGCCATCCGGTCCAGGAGATTTGTTAATATTAAGTTTTTCTATTTGTTCCAAAACCTGTGGAGCACACAAAATCTACTAGCACGGGCCCCCTAGGTTCTGGTGCATGAGAGGAATGTGAAGAGTGTCTTTTCCCTTCTCAGTCAGGGAGTTTTCACTTTGCTTCTCATTTGTGTGCAGCTCCCAACTGATTTTTCTGTGGGTCAGTGGCCCCTGACCTAAAAAAAGCCCTCCCCTCCTTGTTCTAGGGCATTGGGGTAGTGATGACTTGTGTTCTTTACATTGTACTGTGAACTTGAAGACCAATTTCCCAACTATCAAGTTGTATTTACCTCTATTATGATTGTTAGTTCCTCTGCATCCCTTTTGGCTTCCTCCGAGATGTCACCAAAAGTATCTCTCCCAATTCCTTGCTGCTCACATTCTCAGTGGTTATTGCAGATGCTTTCCAAGCCATCCCACTTGTCACTCACAAGTTCCTGACCCACTACTTGAGCACCAGCATGAGGGATTTGAGTAAGATGCTTGTGCAGGATGTGTTTTGGCTATAAGAAAGCAGAGCAGTTCAAAATTGCCACCTTTCTTCCCTCCTGCTCAAAATCCTCCCTGCTCACCAGATTAGCATCCCTGTGGATCCTCCCTCAAATACCTAACAACAAGCTGTTTCAGAGATTGCTTGGGGGAATTAGCTAACCATTGTTCTGTTTCCCATACAAAAAGCCTTTGGCAATTTAAGTGTTGACATTCTTCCTTGTCTTTTTCCTGTATCTGTCTAGAGCACCTCCTACAAATACATGTATAACCCAGTGAATTCAGTCAGTGTTTTTGGAACTGGCACCTGGACTATATCTTATACTATCTTAAGAACAATCTGAGCTTTTAAATGGGAAGGCTTTCTCCAAGTTCATCTGCTAATCAGTAGGGAAAAAACTGTGTCCCTTTCCTCATATTTCTTTATCAGAGGTCATTCTCTGCCCTTGCTTGGCAATAGTGTGGCCAAAATATAGGCTGCAAGCACCCTCTTTTTTAAAAGATGTTCAGTCTACAGAAATGACATGATGTTCAGTGCTCCAACTTGATCCAAACTACCTTTGTTAGGATTAGCCATCCATGCAGACTGCTTTTTTATTTTAAGAAACGGCATGGCTGCAGTTTAGCATAGTTGATGTAAATTAAAGGTATCCCTCTCATGGTCAGTAGCCAATATCACACAGGATTGGGCAATATTTAATTGCCCCTGCAAGTAAGTCTCAGTGCTTAGGATTTCAGAGTTCCTACCTTCTAAGCCAGTTGACATTAATTTGATTGGATTTGCCTGAGGTATAATTTCATTTTATCTCCTTAGGCTCCATAATATTTCTGTTTCTCTTGTTAGCTATGTCTATAAAGCAAGACAATAATCAAGGGAAAAAATCAATAGCTAAATATGAAGTTTTGGCTTAGTGGGGAAAGAGAATAGAATTGATGTAACTTAACATTTCTGTGACTTAAAAAACTCTTTAAAACTGATGCTGGCTCATTTTATCCTCTTGTGTTTGACAAAAGGTCTATAGAAGGAAGGAAGACTGACTGAAAAATGCCCAGAAGAATGATCATTATCATTTCCCCTGACCCGTTCGGTCCCCTTTACAGACTTAGAGATTCTTCCGTGGCTGTATGGAAACATAGTTTCTAGCTGTCTCTGAAGAATGGGGACGCCTTGCAAGGCCTTCTCAAACTTTCTGTCATTTGTAGGCCACTTACCAGAAGCTGCTGCCTCTGTATTTTCCAAGGTCATTGGAAGAAGAATGCCATTGCTTACCTTGCCTTCCTGCAGATATTGGCAATTCAGAAGGGGAGCCAGTAGTACCAGAGCGGCAAATCAGGATCAGTGAAAAACCTGGTGCTCCAGATGGTGAGTTTCAGTTCAACCCTGAAATAAGTGTCTTGGCATGAAAGCCAAGGAAAACCAAAGAGCATGCACAGAGAACTATGAATTCCATATTTTATGTGGATTGTATCCAACAGAAAGAATCCCCCTGCAGAGAGAATCCTCAGAATGAGGATTTTATTTGTGTTCTGATTAGAGAGCAAGTTGGTTTATACAGCAGTAACTTCTACTTTCTCTGTTTGATTGTGGGAGGTAATTGGAGGATGTGGTGGAAGGACAGTTTCCCACTGTTTTTTGTAGCAAGAAGGCTCCTGAGGAACCTCACGTGAAAAGAAATGCAGTCCTTGAAGCTCCTGTCTAGCTGAAATGTACACAAGACATGGACCCTGCCCCAAGGTGTTTGCTGTATAATTCTTTGTTACTGCACACAGAAAACCAGTGCAGGTAGAAGACAATGAGATAGTGAGGAAATCAACATTGTCAAACAAAATTGACAGAGGCTCAGTGAAGGAAGTTCTCTATAAGGATTGAAAAGGAGAAATGCCTGGATGTCAGAGGTGGAAGAAGAGGAAGGGTGGAGGACATGATAATGGGTGGAAGGCTTGTAACATTGGACAGTGGTAAAGAAAAGTCAGGGTTGCAAATAGAACCTGAGTTAGCTACAAGACAAGCTAATGGAATGAGTGAACGGTGAGTAATGAG